GGGGGTAATTAGAGGTATCACCCACTTTGGCCGATTTTTGCGGGATTTATCCTCTTGGTTACTCTCGTGTATTAAACGCTCAAGAACACGCAGCCACAAGGAGCAGTAGTGAAACACAGTAAAGAACACCACAATCTATACTGGTTTGGCCTAATGCTTACATCGAGTCCCCGGACAACCGTGCCCAAGCTCTCACTAACCATCCCACCAAACTTAACGGTGTTTGGCAAACGTTACAACTAGAGAACTTGAGTCAGACAAGTCTCTTAACCTATCACCTTCAACTTGATCACACAAGTCACGTGATTTCACCACTTGACAGTCCCAACGTCAAGATCTTTCTCACCACTTGGCGTAGTCCCAACACCAAGATTTTACACCCTTTCTCACAAGAAAGGAAACAAACTACAGCAGTAATTACTCTCCAAAAGGGCGGATATGATGCAATACAAAGTTCTTATAGAACATGGCAATAGCAACTCCCGAAGACTCAAGCAACAAGGATGAAACTCAAGCAATAAAGGAATATGATCAACAATGATAACTTGCTTGGACATATGATGTATTTTTCATGAAGAATACTCTCAAAAGACTCAAAATAATGTTTGGGATCAATCTTATACGTTGTGGCTTGATACTTAATAGGATGAATTTATAGGCATGAAACAGTTAGAAAACGTCTGTTGGAGCTGTTGGAAACTGTCAACATTCAAATGTATCATATCAAACATTTGAAACGTAGGTAGTTTTTCAGCCTTATCCAGCAACAAACTGATACATTCGAATGTTTGGGATGGTACATTTGAATGTATCGCGTGGTTCATTTTGACGTGAAGATGGTGCGTTCGGATGTATGAAGAAGTGCATTCGAATATATGATGAGGGATCCTCGGGAAAAGGTTAGGGATCATAGAAGAATCACCGAGGATAGTCTAAGAGCTATTCCTAATGCCATATTCTTTAACAAATAATCTAAGACCTAAAAGACTACCCAACCTGGAGGTCTTGAACGTCTTTGGTCTTGATTTTTCATGTGTTATTGAATGTCCCTTCATCACGGACAAAATAAACTCATTGAAACTCTTGAGTCAATCTCATACTTAGTCTTGATGCTCAAAATATTTATTCACGTGCTTGCACATTATTCATCCTTATGAATGCTTAACTGACATGCCATAATTTTCTGGTTAAAGAGATCTGTATGCAACATTGCAACCTCTACTCCTTCATTTGTTACTAATTAATTTGGATGTGTACTACTTTGAGGATAGCCTCGTAAGGAATGATTACTGACATGGTTGCATTATGGGAGTGTACCTGTATGCTGATTCCATTCCTCTTGTGAACTATAGAATAGTATTATTACCATGTTTTTTATACGTGGTGCATTATTCATCCATGTCAAATGTTCCATGAGTGCCTCTTAGTTGAATAGAATATCTATCTGTATGCTAGGTTACACTAGGACGGGTGCGGGTACATATACGGGGACGGATTCAGAAAACGGCATTTTTAAAAATTTTTAGGATGCGGGGACGGCCAGGATTTGGCAACAAAAAGTAATTAAAATATTAAATATAGGCATGTAAATGTTAAACATAATACTCTACTTAAATAGCATAAAACAATCGAATGACGTACTTAATTAGAATAGAAAGTAAAATGGAATACTTGTAATATCAAAACTATCATGTTTGGAAAAATAAATAAATAACTAATAAACTTAGTTTTTGAAATTCTCAACTAAGAATATCACTACTCTAAAAATCCAAACTTTGCTTGTGAAGAATTGTAGCTGTCGAAAACCAGACCCAAATAACTGTACCTAGATCCAAATATAGACACAAATACTCTACAAAGAAAATAATTGTATAATCTAATGGAACCAAACCCAAATAATTGTGGCTGTCAAAAACAAAGGAAAGAAAACAGAAATATTGAACCTCAACTGGACGGCTGGAGTCGGCAAATCTCTGGAGTTCTCCGGCGGAGTCGCTGGAGTTTGCTGGAAGGTCTGGAGTTCGCCGCAATCAGATCGGGTAAATAGAGGAGTCCTAGAGTTGCAGCCTGCTCTGCAATCGGATCCCACTTCATTTATATAGAGTATTAAAGAAGTTTCTAGTTGGTCAAAACTAAAAAAATTAAAAAAATTAAACGGCCGTTGTTTTTTCCGCACCGTACCAGGTGCATCCTCAATTTCCGGATCCGTCCCTGTCGAAGACGCCAACAAATCCATCACAGCCTAGACGTTTCCGGTTTGCCAATTGCCGTCCCTTCTGGTGATTCCGCCCCCGCTTCGATTCTGGTGCACGAGACGGCACCAAACTGCCAACCCCGTGCAACCTAGTCTGTATGCAGCTAGTAATCGAAATTATATTTTCTCTTTCTGCAATATTGCTTATGGCCTCATATGAATACAAACTATTTTCCTTGATCGAAATGTCGAGGCGTAGTTAGTATTTTTCATTCCCCTCGCCCAAAGAAAATCAATAGTGCATCCACACACTCCCCCGTGTGACTCGAAAACCAGTCCTCCTTGTTGTAGGTGGAGTGGGCTATGATTAAGAATAGGGTGTTATAGAATTATAGAAATATATCACTTTAATCAAAGATATGTACCAAGATGCTAAAACAAATGTTAGAACATAGAACTTGTGGGGGATGACATAATATGTTGGCTATAAGCCCATTCTTTTTTTGCAACTGTTATGGATGAGTTAACTAGGAATATCCAAAGTGAAGTCTCAATGTGTCATGGTGTATGTTATTTGCGAATGGTAATTTGTTTGTAATAGAAATAAGGAAGGGTTAAACACGATAAGTTGGCGTTTTGGTGAAACGAGTTGTGTTCACAAGAACTTAAAATCGGCAGACCTGAACACTAATTGAAGTGCAAATTTAGTGTGAGTAAAGTAAAAAAACAGAGTGGTGAAATTGGATGGGAAAGAATTATTGTTCACATACTTGGGATTTTTTTCCCAAAGAATTGAGAATTTGAGGTATCAACAAAGATATGACTCACAAGTTTAAGGCAGGTTGACTCAGATTGGAAGGAACAGCAAGAGTAAGATGTGATCGGAAAGTACATTTTATGGGAATGAAGTTGGTGCTTCAGTGGTTGGAGCTCTCCCTCCCATGAAGAGCAGCCTGAGTTTACCCCCGCCCCCCTAACTTTCTTCGTTACCCACCTCCCTTTAAAAAAGTAAATTTTATAGGGCTGCTATAAGTTAGTTTTATAACACGAATATGCATGTCGGTCAGTGAAAAAGATTTGTCAAAGAAGATTAATGTGGCAGAGATGCATATGTTGCGGTGGGTGCAAGTAAGACTAAAGGATAGTGAAAAACGAGAAAATTTGCGCGAATGTGGGAGTAGCGAGTATTGAAGATAAATTAATTGAGAATTATATAGCTATTGTATATGGGTTTTGCACTTAAAAATGAAGGGTTTAAACGGGTCGAGTGATCATTGAGGTTAACATGCCTCCAATTCAAGGGTGTAGCGAGTTGTAGTTCTCGCTCTCTCTCTCTCTCTCTCTCTCTCTCTCTCTCTCTCTCCTTATGGTGGCATGTGGTTGCGGCCCTTGAGGGGGACGGCTGCATGGTATGCAGAGTTTGGTGAAGACATGCTGCAGTGTATCACGGCACGGCTCACTGGCATCTCCAGACATAGTTGTTGGTGGTCGGAGACGCCAATGGAGATGGTGGTGATACTGCACACTTGCCGAAAAAGGGAGATGTGCAGTTAGCCAGTGACAGTACCTTTTTGTGCTGTTCATGATAGGTTGCTGGAAAGTTTTCACCTCAAGGTTTCCATGCTCTGATCCTATGTAAATAAAATAGAATACTTTGGGCAAGTGTGAGTGTATTCATAGATAATGTCCTGGAATAATACAACCAAGCCTGCGAAGAAAATAGAATATTGGGCTTTAATGTTTTATTGTAAAACCCTATATCTTGCCCCGAAAAAATAGCTACTCCCCATAGGGAGATGGACATTCGGTGATGTGCACTCTTGCTATCTACATGCGATATGTGTTCTAGACATGACATATTAGCTTTTGCAAGTTTATTTTATTCAAATGTAAATAACTGCTCTGTTGTAATGATTATCTGGCTAATATTTTGCCAATGTACTCTGCTGCAGTATGGGAGCTTTCATTCTCAGTTCTGGCACAAAAGGTAGACTGAACTCATCTCTTGGGTAAAATGTCTTCAAATGTTTTGAGTAAGCAATACTATTTTTTTAGAATCTTTCTGTTCATGGATGAAGGAAAAAGGTATAGCTTGCCAAACTCGAGAATAATGATTCACCAGCCTCTGGGTGGTGCACAAGGTTCACAAACTGAACTAGATATACAGGTAGGTAACCCACCACATGTATTCTTTCAATCTGCACTATTTACCCTATGTTAACTTGCCAACCTTTATCAATATTATGATTAGAGGGTGAGCAAAGTTGCAGTTACAATGTCTAACATGAATGGAAACAATTTTTTTTTAAAAATTGTTAATAAGAACATTTCTCTGACCCTATGATTAAATATAAAACACTGTCGGTGGAACCTTACACTTCAAAAACATGATGTTTTCAGACAAATGAGATGCTTCATCATAAAGCTAACCTGAATGGGTATCTTGCATACCATACTGGTCAGAGCCTGGAGAGGATTAATCAGGACACGGATCGTGACTTTTTCATGAGTGCAAAGGAGGCTAAAGATTACGGACTCATAGACGGTGTCATCATGAATCCAATGAAAGCCCTTCAACCACTCGCTGCAGCTTAATCCTTAGCACCTATCAGGTTTGTCATCGTCACACATTAACTATCTTGAAATGGTGTAGTTTAGATTACCGTGTGAGTGAACGAATTATTGTTGTACTTGATGTATTGTTTCCATATTGTCATCACAGACTCTGTTCTCTGTTTTTTCTTGCATGTAATCAAATTTGCCATATTGGTGAAAGCTTTTAATGTCAATTGAACATTTTTATGTTCACTCTTTCTGAAATTGTCAGTGTCTTGGCAACTGTCTCATTACCAACAATGAGGTAGGTGTCTCTTGGATTTCTTTGTCTTCATCTTTCCCTAGACCCTATTACTCTGCTATGTTTTTACCACATGCTTAGAGTGAACCAGATGGCGTTGGACCCTTTTGATTGAACTACCGAATGAACAGCATGTCACATTCTTTTTGTTGCCATTTTCGACCTATTTTGGGACTGTTACAATCTTTTTTTACTTATTAGAGCTGATAAAAAACAGAAGAAAACTTTCAGCGCATGTGCTCTTCATCTTCTCAACATGTTCCTGTAGAACGGGTAAATTTCACCCATGTATACGAACTTTCATCATTATTTCACTTTGATATATAAACTTTAATTTCTTTCACAAAAGTACATGAATTTTCAATATTCTTTCACCGGTGGTTCAATAGATTCAATAGGCGGTTTCTAGGTCACCTTCAGGTCATTTGGGGTCAAATTATAATTTTATAAATTTAATTTTTTTGACCCCACCCTTCCCCCTTTTCTCTCTTCCTCTTTCCCAGCCAGGCCCCCCACCCCCCACGCACGCAACCATTCTTTTCTTCTTCTTCTTCTTTCTTCTTCTTCTTCTTTATTTAATTTAAATTTAAATAAATTAATTTTTTTTCTTATATGAAGAAGAAAAAAAAAAGGGAAAAAGATGACCAAATTCCCTCCCCTTCGTTCTCCTCCGCGTCTCTCTAAAAAAAAGTTTGGCATATGATTGTCATTCTCACGCCTTCCTTCTTCCTGTTTAGCTTCACCTTCACTCCGTTTTTCACCTTTTAATTATAATAAAGAAAAAAAGAAAAAAGAAAAAGAAGAAGCCACCCTCTATTTTGACCCACCCTCTCCCCACTCCTCACTCCTTTCTCATGAACCCATTGCGCCGATCTTCTTGATTTCTTATTTCTTCGGCGGGTCATGGCCGATTCAGGCGTCGAAGCCGTTCAAGATTCCGCCGCCGCTCAAGATTTCGGCCACCAGGTGGCCTGACGAGGTTCCCGGCGGCGCTCCTTCATTCATCATTAGTATAATCATATACGGAGTACTTCTTCTTCTTTTCTTTTTATTTTTTATTTAATTTATTTAAATTAAATAAAGAAGAAGAAAAAAGAAAAAGAAGAAGAAAAGATTCGGTGCGGGGCTGAGAGAAG